TATTATTATTATTATTATTATTATTATTATTATTATTATTATTATTATTATTATTATTATTATTATTATTATTATTATTATTATTATTATTATTATTATTATTATTATTATTATTATTATTATTATTATTATTATTATTATTATTATTATTATTATTATTATTATTATTATTATTATTATTATTATTATTATTATTATTATTATTATTATTATTATTATTATTATTATTATTATTATTATTATTATTATTATTATTATTATTATTATTATTATTATTATTATTATTATTATTATTATTATTATTATTATTATTATTATTATTATTATTATTATTATTATTATTATTATTATTATTATTATTATTATTATTATTATTATTATTATTATTATTATTATTATTATTATTATTATTATTATTATTATTATTATTATTATTATTATTATTATTATTATTATTATTATTATTATTATTATTATTATTATTATTATTATTATTATTATTATTATTATTATTATTATTATTATTATTATTATTATTATTATTATTATTATTATTATTATTATTATTATTATTATTATTATTATTATTATTATTATTATTATTATTATTATTATTATTATTATTATTATTATTATTATTATTATTATTATTATTATTATTATTATTATTATTATTATTATTATTATTATTATTATTATTATTATTATTATTATTATTATTATTATTATTATTATTATTATTATTATTATTATTATTATTATTATTATTATTATTATTATTATTATTATTATTATTATTATTATTATTATTATTATTATTATTATTATTATTATTATTATTATTATTATTATTATTATTATTATTATTATTATTATTATTATTATTATTATTATTATTATTGTTATTTTCATTGTAGATCCCCAGACCTCTTTTCAAAGGAAGCTTACACCATATAGATAGGAATCCATCCTCACTGGGTCACACATTATCTGTTTGGAGGATGTTATGAGGTATTGTCAGCTGTCCTTACTAGGTGCTCCTCGAAAATGTGCATGATTGAACAGAAAAAAAAACAGTCAGGGCAAATGTCTGCATGTGCTAGATTGTAATTTTTTCGTATTCACTTTTGGAATGTGAAGTTGTCTAGTTATGCAGGGAAGTTGTTTGGATCCCATAGATTTTGATTATGTCTATAATTGAGTAATTTATGAAATGGCTTTGAATTCCTGCTATCCACTTTGTATACTTATTTATGATTACATTGTTGGTTGGTGGAGAAGGAGGGATGAGGGAGAAGAGAGGAGAGCGAAGAGAGAAAAGAGAAGAGAGGAGCAGAGAGGAGGGAGGGGAGAGGAGGAGAGGAGGAGAGGAGTAGAGGAGTAGAGGAGTAGAGGAGTTTCTAGCTTTTTGGCCATTTTCCAAAGTCCATATTGCCATTTGAATTACATATCCAGATGGTAATAATCTTTTCTTTGCACGTACTCCATATCATCTCTCTAGGTAGTCTACAACTCAGTGCAAGAAAAGTAAAATATGTGCACTTTGTTAATTGTGTCATTTTAAACATTTTTACGTAATATCCAATTTTCTATAATACCACCTGCGTTGCCGCTCATGGCACCAGGATTATGATGCTGAGCATGGAAATGGCATCCTCCATGGAGCCAGCGCTCTTCCAGTCACCACTCATGGACATTGCATTCCACACTCACACACGATAGGAATAATGCAAAATTGGCAAATGAGTAAAATAAACCTCCCAATAGGTGGGGAGTCTTATCCATCACCCTGGCCAGCAGTTGATATGCTCATGACAGCAAGTTCACGTCACCCAGCCTACAGCCAGATTTTCTCATGACAGCATGTTCATGTCTTCTGCCCCTCGACCCAGATTTTTTCATGACATGATGGTAATAATCACCCAGATCCAAGAGCCTTGAATGCCCTTGTAAAATTGGCTCACAGAAGTGAAGGGGCACAAGATGGTGGGGAATAGGGGTTCAAGCTGGAAGAAACTAGCCAAACTGTACCAAAATTATTTTCTCACCCTGCCTACCTCTCAGTAATGGGGAAAAATGGCAGAAAATAGCTCACCAGTTTTTGAAAGGTTAAGAAAACCACCTTATATTGCCATTGTTTTTGCATGATTTTTGTAATGATTGTAATAACTATAATAATCTTCCATCTTAGAAGCAGTACTTTATTCTCAATCTGATGTTATAGTTGTTATAATAGAAGACATGATAGTCTCTCCTTATCTTTCTTATCATATTTTTTTCCACAGGTATATTCATGGTTGTACAGAGGAATATTTGTATTTATAAATAACTGCAGAATGAAAGACATTAAATTGTTCTTTCATTGGGCAGTAAATGGTATTATGAGATCTTTTGAGCTTATGGTTTAGATGTCAAGTGGTGATGTGTGACATGGTAACATTTTTATCTGGGGTGCTAACAAAAGGGATGTGGCCTCCTATATATCCAGATTGAATGTACT